TTATTTTACTCACGTTTGGGTCACCTGTGTTTTATCATCTATCTATGTCTCATAGATATATGTCATCTAATTTTTTTCTAAAGCCATATCTTGTTCTAGAAACCTTTGATACATCTAGGGAAAAAGAGATTAGAGGATGTTTGGAAAGTTCTAGAAATTTATGATTTATTTTTGTATATAAGCCCCCAGTAATAAGATATGCATTACACATTAAACATAGTAATTTTAACACAATGCTTTCAAAGCTAACTTGGCCGTGGAGCTGCCTCTTCTCTTAGATGAGCATCCAGCATCAGTGAAAAGCCTGATCAGTGTGCATAAACTCTCCAGGAGCAAGTTGTGTTCCCAGACAGTTTCCAAGTGTGATAGGGAATCCGTAAATCTCTGAGACCCTTTCAAAAGTTTTTGCAAAGCCCAAAGTACTTTATAAGATTGATCTGGCCCGCGGATCAATCCATGGGGTATATACCTGGAGGGGAACGGGGATGAAATAAAACAGGGGGGAGACAAAGAGAGATTGAAGCAAGTTGAGAGAATCTGATCAAGCCAGGAAGTGATCACATCTTTTATAGGCCAAGGGCGGGCTGGTGGAACAGGAAGAGGCTATGGGGATGAATACAACAGGGTCATCGTCACATCCGGGTATGTGACATAAGCAGGAGAGGATTATGGTTAATGTAGGCAGGTGCATTATGTGCCCATAGGAGAGAGAGATGGGGAGGCAGCAATGGGGCTGTCGCGCCGCTCCCTACATAAGATATTTTCTTTTTCATTCTCATTTTCTCAGTAGTGTACAGTGGCATTCTGTGGAGACTGCATGATATGCACCATTATAATAGGTTAAGTGCAGAAGTGGCTATCAGACTCTACTAAGCCAAATGGCAAAGATCTGAAAGAAATGTAAAATAACACCATTGTTCTTACATTTTAAAATCCTGGATTTTCAAAAATAAAATTATGTTAACATGTCAATGTGCTAAATTTTCTGTGGATTACTAATATTCTCATTATATCTATGACTGATATAAACAAAAGCTCTTTGGGGTCCTCAATAATTTTTAAGAATGAAAAGAGATACAGAGACCAAAACATCTGAAAATTGCTGATCTAGTTAAACTACTGAGAGTAGACAACTATTAGTTTTGTCTCCCCAGCAACGCAGCATCAATTCCTCATCTTTCTTATATCTATGCTTAGTTTTCCTTTGAGAACTACCTCCAATCTCTTTTCTGTCCATTGGCCATTTGATTTTCTTAATCTTCTAGCTCAAGAAAAAGGCACTGGATGTAGGCCTATATCTAGAGTCTGATGTAGACCTAATCTTATATTTTTCAACTACATGAACCAATAAATTGTCTCTTGAATCCATAAGAATCTGGATTTAATATACTTGAATATCAGGAAATATACAGAAACGTTGATCTAATATTTATATGGCTTGTAGTTGAGTATTGACATATGCTTTGCATTTTCAATTACATTCTAGTTCTAAATCTGTTAATATCTATCATTTGTGACTTAAATACTTCATTAGTTTGATAAGGTAATCATTAGATGATGTACTAACATGGTATATTTATGAATTCCTGGTAAATACAACAGACATATTCAATTGGGAAGACATATTAAACAAGTAATATATCTGTTCTCTGCTTACATTAGGCACCAGTTTCTTCTTTTTCTCAGTCGTTGTTATTCTAGGATTATTTCCTTTTTTTGGTATCAAGGATCAAACTCTCCACTTCACGCTTGCCATGCAGGACGCTTATTCTGCAGAGCTAAACCTCAGCTCTAGGATTAATTACAACCATTATCTTCATCTAAGAACCTTCTCTGGCTCTCTAGAAAGCTTAGATCCTACAATCATTATAAAGTTGTCCCTGTACTTGTATGTCTTTGAAGTACTCCTAGGAGTTTTGTTAATTATTTGCACGAGTCAGATGTGGTGGTGCACTCAGGAGGCGGGAGATGAAGATACCAGTGAGTTTGAGGCCAGCCTGGGCTGCATACTGAATTCACACTGACTAATAATCTACATAAAGAAACCCTGTTTAAAATTTTTGTGTGTGTACTATTTGCTCAGTACTGCCTTTTCACCAGCGTGGATGCCCTAAGGTCTCATGTTCTTTGGAGTACAGTGGCTTCTAACTATCTGTAGACGGAATGATGAGTGCCTGAGCCTCCTAAGAGAAGCTAAGGTGCGCAGAAGCAGGGAGACAGAGGGAGCCACTCTGGGTCAGGGCAGCAAAGAAGGATTCCTGAGGAAATGCACTTGAGCTGGAAGAGGAAGGAGAGGAGAGTCACCCAGGTGTGGGGGCGGAGAGGACACTTCAGCCGAGGCAGCATGCGATGCTGGCGCTAACGTGGAAGGGGTGTGAGCCAGCTTAAGGTGGACCACTGGCAGGTTTTTTTTTTTTTTATTAAAAAAATTTTTAAAAGGAAGGAGATTAAGATAAAAGAGGACATAACAACACAATAACACAGGTCAGAACAGAACAATTTAAGCAACATAGTGTTTCACCATAAGATAACCTAACATAACAGTAGCTACCATAATGTCTCTTTCCTTGAAATAGTTGAGTATAACTAGGTATATTATAGCATCAAACACAACATGACAGTGTAAAACCATTCAAGAGAATGAAAGTATTACAGGGTATTTAGAACCAACTAACAGATAACAATGGTTTCTATATTATCCCCTTGTCTATAAAAAGTTTTGTTTGTACTATCGCATATAATAAAATCCAGTAAGATACAACAAGATAAACCAATGGAGACAGAAGAACAAAAGCTTCATGGGACTTCAAAACCAGATGATATTAAATCAGCACTAGCTATTATATTGTCTTGTTTTCTTCAAAATAACTGTTCATACTGGTGGGTTTTAATCTCAAGGGTTTGGACTTCGTAGCAGGAACAATTAGAAGCCATTCTGGGTATGGGAATGATATACAGTTTAGTTTTTTAAAAACAGGACTGATCAATGACCAAGAACTGTTCAGGGGTAAGTGAGGAGGGTAGGACAGGTGTGGAAATGTGACTAATTCGGTGGAGGAGTGGCAGAGGTTTTGAATACGCCTTCAGTCTTTTTATTCAACAAGTAGCTACTGTGTCCTTACCATACAGAGCGATACTCTAGATTGGTGAACATTACAGAAGGGAATGATGCAGAAAAGATCCTGGAGAATATGGGCTGCCCTATTAATTGGAGCGTGAAATGCTGACAAATGAATACGTAAATAGCCAAAAACCACACATTACCTTGGAAGGTGCAGCCAGTAGATAAAAATGGAGCTTCTAATTTAGCTTGTGGAAACCAGAGTACAATAGTTTGACATCTTTTGTGTACTCTTGGAAAATAATTGCCAAGCACTATGAAAGTCCAAAGAAAAACTCTTAGGAATGTAATATAGTGTCCTAGATATAAAGTTCACAGATGAAGTCACCTAGGAGATTCAGAAATCTGAGGAACTGTCCTGTAACCTGAAGACCATGATTTCGAGGAAAGAAAAAGAGAGATAAAATATTGTTATGTGAAAACTCAAACAGAATGGAAGGGCAAGCCATTTTCAGGTTAGTTATAACATATTTTAAAAGTCTTTGATCTTAATAAAGATTTATATGAAATGGGAAAGTAAAATTATTTCCCAAATGAGGGAAAAAGGAAGAGAACAAGGAGAAAAAAGAAAAAAGAAAGGTGACAAACTTGCTTTCCAAAGTTAGCAAGGTAGGACTAGGACAAGAACTAAATGGAATAGCTAAACTTGGTGGCACAAACCTGTAATCCCAGCACTTGGGAGGCTGAGGCAGGAGGATCACTGAATTGAAGACCAGCCTGCACTACAAGACCTGACTCTAAATAAATAAATAGAGGATCTGAGTGGAATAGAAGCTTAATGTTAATTGCTTGTCTGTTGTAATCTGAAAATGCTTTTCTTTCCCTATTAAACTTTCACATATAAAGCTTTTTTGAATTTCAGTACATCATTTCGTTTGTATGGGTTTATTTACTTTTAATTCCAACCTGGTCACTCTTCTTCAACATGTAGTGAGGTCAAAGTGTTCAATTAAGATGTATTTTAATAACTCAGAAACATGTCATTTACGCTAGGCAGAGAAGAGGTAAAAGAAGCAAGTATTATTAAAAAGGTGGAAATGTCCGAGTTCTTTTCGTATTAGTGCATACTAATTATACAGATAGTAGGTTTCATCCAGGCATGCATAATGCTGTATTTTGATCATATATATTCTAGTTTTGTAGGTGTTTAAATCAGCCAGCAACTCGTCTCCCTGAAGACAAGAACGTGTGTCCTACGCTAATATTTTCATTTTCTCACCAAGAGGCACAATTCTTGAATAGAGGCATTTAAAAAGCCTTCGAAAGTTTTCTTTACAATCAAACTAACTTTTAACTCTCATCAGCTTCGAGTAGGCGCTTTCTTGAGTGCTGCTGAGTCCTCCAGGTTGGCTGCTTCTGGTTTTGTATTCCTTACCCCCTTTTCTACACAATTTTCCTTTTTCTCATGGGACACTGTTGGTGTCTATAGATTCAGGCTGCTACCTTCAGACTTACCTTATGCGAAACCACTTGGCACAGGCAGAACTAGAGACTCGTGGAATTTTCTGTTTTCCAAAATACATTTGGAATCCTGGTAGAGATCGAATCCTAAGGATTCTCAAGGAAGGGTCTTCAGAGCCCACCATTTTTAGCTTTTTAAATCTTATGGGGCCTGGGGCCCAGAGAGGCTCAGGGCTCAGAGGAAAGTCTGCCATGCAGCCCTTGCCCTTTCCGAAAGAATTCACCTACAGCTTCCTGGGCCACCCTGGGATCTCCACCTCGGATCTCCCCCGGTAGCTGGGGGCCCCTGAGCTGACCCACCTGCAGCCTCTCCTCCTCCTCCTGGGCCCTGGCCGGGGAGGAAGCGGTTCGGGGAGAGCGAGGAAGAGGGGGTGGCGAGAGGAAGGAAGGGGAGCCCGAGGTGGGAGTGGAAGAGTCAGCCTCGCGGGGCTGATTGGCTCCCGGGCCAGCCCTCCAGCCGCGGTTTATAAGAATCGGGCTGCCCGGAGCGCCCTGCCCAGGAGCCACCGCCGGCCTCCGCCCGCGCCCGTCGAGGTCCGCCGAGGTCCCCGGCCGCGGGGAAGGGGGCAGCGAGGGAGCGAGGGCCAGGCCATGCGCCGCGCCAGCCGCGACTGCACCAAGTACCTGCGCGGCTCGGAGGAGATGGGCGGCGGCGGGGTCCCGGGCGGCCCGCACGAGGGCCCCCTGCACGCCGCGCCGCCCCCGCCGCCCGCGGCCTCGCGCTGCGTGCTCGCCGCCCTGCTGGGGCTCGGGCTGGGCCAGGTGGTCTGCAGCGTGGCCCTCTTCCTGTACTTCCGGGCGCAGGTGAGTGTGGGCTCCCGCCCGGCTCCTGCCGGGGAAACTGAGTCCGGCCGCGCGGATCGGGACTGCTCGGGAAGGAAAAGGGACAGAGACGGAGGCAGAGCGGGCGCGCACCCGGCGTGCCCGGCGCGGGGCTGCGGGGCGCAGGGCGCAGGGCGCGCTCGCCCTCTTCCCGCGTGGCACCTTTGCGCACCGAGGCTGGGCTGCCCGGGCCACGCTGGGGTGAATCCTGTCCCGGAAACAGCACTGGCTGCTCCCCCCCTCTGGAGGTAGTCGCACACTTTCTCCCTTCCCATTTTTCTCCGAGAGTTAAGAACCAATTTAGGACCACTCAGGGGACAATAAATTGAGTAACTGAGCGCCCGCATGTGGGCATCGAGCCTTTCCCTTCCCGCCCATCACTCGGTGGCCCTGGTTCCCTTCCTGGGGCCGCAGTACTGGGGCGGCGCACGGCGCGCGGAGGCTGTGCCCATGCCCAGGTGCCCAGGTGCCCAGGTGGGCAGAACGATGGGCGGAAGGACGGCGCTGCCGGAGGCGCCCGGGCTCCAGACCCGCCGAGGGGCGAAGGAAGAGGGAGCGGCCCACGTGCCTGCCGGCGAGGTGGGCGGAGGAAGGAAGCGAGGTGTGTGCACCCGCACTGCCTGCCTGGCTCCGGGAGTCACCGGCCTTTGAAAAGATGAAGAGGCTCTGCAGAAGACACAGAACTGCAGGGCGGCAGTAGAAAGGAAGGGGTGAATGTGTAATAGGCTTTCTGGTGGTTTATGCTCTGGGTGTTCTTGGAAATTGCAGTTGGTTGGATTCATTCAAATATTCTTGTCTGGTGCTTGAACTCTTTCTCAGAGGAAGTGGGGGGCTGACTGTGCAGTTTTTTTTTATGGGAAAATAAAGTTGGAATTGGACTTCATTGGTTTTCAGATTCAGAGGTGATTACTGCCCAGACTGGACGCATGAAAACATGGAACTTCTTGGCCTGGAGGGTTTTTGAGGAGGGCTCGGGTCTTGAATGCCTGCTTGTTTCAACCATTGGCTTTTTGTTAAGTATTCATTATCTACTAGCTTGCATTTTATAACACTAGTGTGGTTATCAATTTAACAAAAATAGAAATACTACGAACACTACTTTAGAAAGTTTGTGTTTGTACATTGATAAACTCAGCTATTACCTTTTGGGAGAATGTTTTTTTCTAAGACAATCTTTTTGCAGCATGGATTACGCAATTCTATGAAAGTGGTTAAACTTTCTTCTTTCATTGCAATATGTTGCAGTCAAGAATGAATGGTTTGCCCATTTATTTCCCATGCAGTATTTTGCTAACAACCCCTCTGAGTGTTTACAACTGACAGCTTGCGCTGGGCCTGGTTCTTAACTGTTATGGAGTGACTTAAGAATCATTCTATCCGCTGTGTCCACTTACTCTGCGCATGTTGCCAGCTAACTGAAGATGCCCACAACAAAAGGCAATTAGAATTCTTAGCCCAAGATCCGAGCACCATTCAGGACCAAAGATGCAGTAGTTCTCTGCTTTATATCTTTTTAAAACACCTTTTATGATGTTTTTTTTAATAGTGATAATGAAGTAAGTGTGTAGTGTAGAAAGAACACTGGAATGCACAAGTTCTAGGGACCATGACAATTTATTTTGCCAGGAATCATGGACGTTGGCATGACCACATAGGAAAGAGTGACCCGCTGTGTTTCTGTTGTAGCTTTCTGGAAGGCATTCCAGTGGCCCAGGGCACTGAGAGGTCTGTCCTTCTGACGCTACCAGCAGTTTGGATGGCACAGGAGTAAAGAGATACTCAAAAGCTTTTCCCAGATTAAATGTGTGATTTAATAAGCTTAACTGGGCAATCTTCATTTGGAGAGTTAGATATCTGGGTACACTGTTCCTAATAGCCTTAAAGATTTGTTTTCTCTAAAATGGATGCAAAACATTTTAATCGTTATTCGGAACCTAATTCTGTGCTGCATTTTTAAAAGATCATCTCTTTTAGTAAAGTAGTAGTGTAGAAGTAATGTGTCTATATGAATATTCCAGGAGATCTGACTATATTTTACTCAGCAAGGTTACCTACTTGTGATACCTAAAGGAGTCAAATCATTTACCAACAGATTTTGGAGTCTTTATGAATGTCATGTTAGGTTGTTTGGAATTTATTTGAAAATAATTGATGGGAAGGAATAGAGACAATGTTGTTTGTAGAAGAAACAAGATTGGCTGTGAGATGGTAATTGCAGAAGTTGGGTTATGGGTACATGGACTTTAATCTACAACACTTCCCAGATTTTTACATTTAAGTACTTTCTTTCATAATTCTAGTTAAGAGAATTTGGCTTATCATTGATTTAGCATTTTTGCTTATATTGACTTTATGAATTATAATTTGGTCCCACATAATGGAGTTGTTTTAAAGTTGTGGATCAAATACTTGCAGAGTCTGATGCATTTCAGTAAAAATAAAACCATCCGTGAAAATATTTACACTGTATAGTAAAAAAAAATGATAAAAGAAACCAGTATAATTGTTTTAGCTTAAAGATAGGGAAAAGAAGCTATGCACATTTTCCAGAAAAAGCAGTTTATTTTGAATGCATTTAGATGAACGCACATACTAGTGTAAAATTATTGAAATATTTTCTTAATTTCTTTTTTCTTAATTCATGTTTTGATATTTAACAATGAATGTTTCAGATTGCCTGGGATTAAATTTTTTAAAATATATGTATGTACTAGATCTGAATCTGAAGATTGGCTTTTCCTTACTAACCCTGCCACAAAGAAAATACTGTGTGGCTTGTGCTATGTATTTACCACATAACATTCATACTTGGGTTTACAAAAGGAAAAAAAAGCTATCCAAAAAGTTGCTTGTAAAATGTGTGTGTGTGTAACATCTCTATAACCATATTCAAAGTTTACCAATAAGATAAGCTCTTTGCCCTTTTTAGCTCCTCTGGGTCTCTTCAGGTGCACATACCAGCCTCTCTGGCTGCCTTTCAACCAGCATAGGAGTCACTGCTGAAAGCCTGATGCCAAGATGTGAGGGCTTCCTGTATGAAAACACAGAGAGTGAAGTAGCACAGATACCAAGCATCCTGCCTCATTTAACCCTACTAATGATTACGTTTCAAGGAAGTTAAAAAAAAAAACATTTCACAGGCGTTATCTGATGAATGTATTTTAAAAATCCATTTTAAATCAACTATTCGAGATTTCATATTTTCAGATATGCCTATGATCTCATCTGTTGCTAACGTTGCTGTGTTCTTTTGAGGAATTCTCTGTTCCTCTGTTGACTTGTAACGTCCAGAAGTTGGGAGACTGCCTGTTTTGCTCAATGTCTTTTTTCACAACATGTAGAACAGTTCTTGGCGTGTTTAATGGACTGAAAAGATCTTTCAGTGATTAGCAACACTACATCTATGACCATTTCTAACTTATAATATGTAAATTATCTCACTAGTAGCTAAGATGGTTCAATTTTTAGCCACATGGACCCTAACTTCCAAGATGATTTGTGAGCTGACTGAAGCCTTTGCATGAATCTGCTTTTCTGAAGTCTGAACCCAGTGACCTTTAAAGTCACCTGTCCAGACATTTTTGGTTTAGTGACATACTTATTAATTAGCATAAGGTACTTTTTTTAAAAAAAATAAAGACTGTATTGGAAGCTGTACTTCTTATACACTCACATATTCTGAGTAATTATAGTTATTCTGAAGAATAGTAGAGGAATAAATACAAATTACAGATACCTTTGCTTCATAGTGGAATATCTCTGTGATTATAAATCATCATTGTATTTTCAACACTAGGCTAAGAACATTTAAATTAAGGAATGCACATTTGTTAAAAGGGTATTGTTTCATTTTGACAATTTCAGATATGGGTAGCGTACCTCCTAGTTTGGTGATTGGTTAATCTGCACATTTTTCTTATTACACTTAAAAATCTAACTAAATCAGAACAAGAAAGACTTAGTATTGATCGTGACTTTGGTTATTGTAAACTTATGTATCTTTGCTTTCTTTCTTTCCCGCTCCCTCCTTCCCTTCCACCCTTCTTTTCTTCCTGTCTTTGTCATTTTTTTTCTTTTTTGCCCTGTTTGTATCTTAATACGCAAATGCTATGAAGTATTTTGAATTTTTGGTAAAAAGAAAAGATTAAACTATTGTTATCAGCACAGCCCGTAGCTAATGATTGCTACCCTTGATGCCTCGGTGGAAATTTCCAGAGCCCTGGCAAGAGCAGGCAGACATGTAGAGTGGTGCAAAAGGATGCCTTTATGCTTGTTTACATCAGGCTGTCAGCAGATAAGTCCAAGGGAGACCTATAAGGTGGGACAATCCCTCTCTTACACACTCAACATTTTGGCCACCCTAATGTGACATTGAGTATCACTCACACGTGTTCCAAAACACTCCAGGTTGAGAAACACTGATGAGAGGTTCTCCTAAAAGAAAATTTATGCTCCTGAGTTAAGATTTTGCTTTGAACTAGGAAATGACTTTCTCTTCCTTTGCTTTCATTGATTAGATATTCATTGATAAAGAACAAGACCAGGCAGACATTAGAGATGAGGTTAATTTTACCTGATTAATGTAGGCTTCATGGTTTGTGCAGAAATGTCAGGACAACTGACATCTAGCAATGTTGTGTATCATAAGGATGAAAAGCTTTGTACCTGCACAGGTCACGTGTGATTTCTCTGGTGCCCCTCCCTATATGAGAACTGTCAGGTTGTCAGGCTGTTCTCCAAAGTTTCATGTACATCACTGTTGAAAATCTGCTGAAGAACCGTGCCTTTTTGTATGGATGATAGTCAGCTTCTTATCAAAATGAATTAGAAATCAACATTTTATTCCCTGGAAGGGGATTATATTAGCTATTAATTGTAAAAGTGAACTTTTCATTCTCAAATTACACTTTACTGAATAAGTACTAATTACCACTCTAATGTCTGTCCCTCACCCCCAGATGGATCTTAATAGAATATCAGAAGACAGTACTCACTGCATTTATAGAATTTTGAGACTCCATGAAAATGCAGATTTGCAAGACCCAGCTCTGAAGAGTGAAGACACAAAGTTAATACCGGACTCGTGTAGGAGAATTAAACAGGCCTTTCAAGGAGCTGTGCAAAAGGTAAGTCCACACTGACGCTGCTAAGTCAAGGACCTTGCTGACTCCGTGGTTATTCAATATTAACACCTGCTAAGTGCTATTGACTCTGTCCTTTTTCTTTGAATAATTTGTAAAAGAGCTGAAGAGAATGTCTTAAAAATATTGGCAGAATTCTTTTGAAGTTGGCTATGGCATCCAGAGACATTTATGCAGACATTCTTTTCTTTTTGAGAGATGGTATTTAAATTCACACTTGGAAAGAGGACAGAAGTGGCTTGTATTTAGTAGATGCATCAATGGATAGTTTGAATTCCTTAAACAGAGAAACTGTTCCTTAGGTTGGTTCACAGGACTTTCTGGGAGTCCTTTCCTTTACATTTGGTTTTGTGTTTGGTTTCACATATGTGATCCGTAGCTCTGATGAAAATCTATTCTAACTGGTCCTTCGTTATCTTGTGTGGTGAGAAATTAAGCACGCGCAGCAGGAAATGTTGCTCGTGAGGTGGAAATTCTGCGTCTATCTTTTCATTTTCTGGGAGAGTTGGCTTACAAGAGAGGAGATGGGAACAAAGAAGACCAAATGATTTTACTAGTAGCTTCAGTTGAGAAACACTATTTAACTGCTTATTTTCTTTTCTTGAATAAAGCCACCTGAAAATTTTGCAAATTTAGGATTATTTGACATTGTAAAAATGTGTGTCATAAGGGGCTGGAGGTTTAGCTCAGCGGCATAAGCGCCTGCCTTGCAAGCAGGCAGTCGTGAGTTTGATCCCTGATACTGATAAAAAAGGAAAAAGACAAAAAAAAAATTGTGTGTCATAGAATCAATAAAATACATATTCTAATATGTATAAGAAAGGGGCATTATTTATGAAAATCACCTTTTCAATATAATTAACAAGTAGATACTTTGTTTTTACTGATTTTATCAAAAAACTGGGTAGAAACTCATTGATTCCAGTGTAGAATGCCCATTTGCAATGCATATCTGTATGCATATTTACATGTGTTTGTGCTGTATATCTAACCTGTTTTGTAGCTCCTGGTGTCCTATCTTATCATTTCAGAGTACACTGTGAAGTTCTCAAAGCCGTTAGATCTAAATTTTGTTCACTAAAAATCCACATGGTGTATTATTTAAAGGGTGCAAATATGTACCAATAAAAATTAAAATTTAATAAAAAAAAGAATGTTTCAGTCACAGGTAGAGGTAGGGAGATGAAGCTATTCTGTAAAACTATTAAATGTAATGTCTTACACCCATGAGGTTAAGATTTGGTGTATTTTATCAAATCAAAGATAGTAAGTTTTGACTTATTTCATTATGCTGCATACCACTAAGATAGAAAAAGGAGCCTATAATATAGCTTAATGGCAAAGCACTTGCCTGGCAAGTACAAAATCCTTAGTTTGATTCCTAGTTTACTTAAAAATGTAGAAAGAAAAATTAAACATGATCATAATAGATCCTGCTTGCATCTTAATTTCAAGAATTCTACATTGTAAAAATAAGTGCATCATAGAATCAATAAGGTACATATTCTATTATGTATAATTATGAAAATCATCTTTTCAATATAATTAGTGAGAAGACACTTTTACTTCATATGGTTGATGTATAAAATGTGGTTTTCAGTTTATTGATTCTTTTACATTATGATTTTTGAACTGTAACGGCAAAGATTCTGCTAATCTATTCATTTTCATTGCTCTGTTTGTGTATCATTAGTCAAATTTTTACCCCATTTGTAAACTTACCTCTCACATACAGAATAATCTGTCTATAAACAATTATTTACAGATACCAGGGATTACTCTATTAGTCCAAAGCTGAATCTTTTACTAAGATAGTAAAAAATTCATCTGGGTAGGTAAATGATTGTGTCCTGATTTGCTGTTTGGACTGGCCCACTTTGTGTCCTCTTAAAATGAAGGAATAAACTTCTAATTTTATTGATGTTTATTGAAAATAAACAATGACAGATAACATTAACATTTATTTATGAGAATGCAAGAAATAGTAGTCTTAATTGGTCAAGAGAGAAAAATGTTCTATCATCTCGTAGAACCTGAGAAGTAATTGAAAAAAATTTCATCTATTATTTCTGATGTTTAAGATCCATTGGAAAATATACAGTTAGACAGATTTTTAGTATTACCACAAATATCTCAAATTAAAAGTTAACTAATGATGAAAATTAGAGTATTTCTCTAAAAGTCAGGAATGTAATGAAGATGTCCATGGTCCCTACATTATTAGCATTGTTCTGACAGTGCTGGCGAATGTGATGGCACTAGGCAGTGAAATGAGAAAAATTATTTAGAGAAAAGGAGAAGGCATAATTTGCGTGTGATATGATTGTATACTTAGGAAAATTCAACAGAAACTGAAAGGCTACAGGCAAAATAAAGTAAATAAGTTTATAAAAGTTAGTCCCCCTCATTTCCAACAATCACTAGAAAACATGAATGAGAGAGTACGTTCATAATTTGCAAAATAAAGTTCTAAAACGAAATAGAACAAAAAATGTTCAAGGCTTATAGGAATAAAATGAGAAAACTTTAGAGACATTTTAAATGTAGAATTGGATGATACAAAGACAAAACTGTAAAATCACAGTACTTATTGCAATGTAATACACATGCATATGATTTAACATAAAATGAAGTCAGGTAGCATACTTTGGGTTATTAAAGCAATGGTATTTAGAAAAATTTATTATCTTTAAAATGTTATTTCCTTCAATCATGTTTTAAGGAAAGCGAATCCTGGACAGTACAGCCCACCAACGTGCTCTGTCGTTCAGTGAACTTTTCTTCCACTTTGTGCCTCATCAGAACTTGCCTGTCCAATGCTCCATTTCCTCTGAGATTTCTAAATGATTGCTTAGATGGTATCACCCACCAATTTGTATTAAAGATGTTTATAAGCAGTAATGGTAGCATTTTGGCTGTTTTAGCAGCTTTTGGAGCTATGATGCCTCATGCCGACTCAGTGACACTAACATTGAGAGATTTAGCACCCAAAGGAGGAAGATTTTTGTGCAGCAAGAACAATCAACTGCTTTTACAAAAGCACCTAGTCTAGTTATACATCGATGTTTTATGGCTCACAGGATAAGTAGAACTTTATTTCATTAGTTTCACATTTGTTTTTATTTTACCATAGGATGTTAGCTTTTTTGCATGGACAATAAAATATATAGGTGATTCCTTCTAAAGAATAAGGAGCGGTTATCATGCAGCCATGTCTGTTAGTATAATGCACCAGTTATCATAATATAGCAATCTGTTCCAGAAGTAAGAGATGTCATTTTCTCCCCAGATCAGATCTTTAGGAAAATGAGTGTTATCCATACTTTGTCATTAGAATGAATCAGCAAACATCCATTAACTGTGCATACTGTTCTAGGCACTTTGCTATACCCAAGGCTCTGCTCGTCTCTGCTCCCAAACAAATTAATGAATTGCCAAATGTGTTAAACTTTGCTGTGACATTCGGTACAATTTGCCAAAAAAATTAGATTTTTTATTTCTCTTGCCAGTGCTGAAAATAGGATGGATATATAAATAGGAAGGATGGACTAGGCACACGTAAGTAGGTTTGTTTCTTAGTTTTAGTTCTAAGATAGATATTGAGTGAGTCCATAAAACAGAATTACATGTGTGGCTGCAATCATTATTGAGAGATCAACCATCCAGTGGTAAATACCAGACATAAGCACAATATCACATTATATGTGTGCAGAAAGTGGTGTTTACCCAGCCCGTCTCTGGTCAGACAAGTAATGCTGTTTTTCCCTCTTTTTTTTGTTTGTGGCTAGGTTTTCTTGGCTTTTTTTCCCCTTTAGCACAGAACTCTGAAAGCCTCTCAATGATCCAGCTCTACCAACCGCAGTTTATAAAGTCTATCAAAACAGTCTATGACAATAAAGAAAACACTAGTACAAATATGGTGTCTGATTAGTAAAGTGATTCTAGTTTCCAGTTTTGGCAGCTTCCCTGGCCTCTGCCAGCCACATGGGGGTGGGAAGAGTGGTGAGCTCAGGCCTAAGCGAGGACTGTCCTGCGTGGCAGGAGGACCCTGGGCCTCAGAGCGCCCGGTCAGTCTCAGTGGAGAGCCAGTATCTGCCTCTGCACTCACAGCGCATCCTTAATGCTCGTGACTGCGGCTCTTCTGGATTGCAGTGTGCCAGGTCACTGATTCCCTCCTGGATATTTGTTTGTGAAAAACTCTCTGAAACTTACTTTCAAGAAGTGTTTGAAAGAATTAATACAGGAGAGAGATTAATAAAAAATGCATAAATCACCCTGTTCTTGGAAATGAGATGTGTGATGCATGCAAGATGATCCCCTAGGAGATAGGAAGGAAACATGAGGACTTCTTTGCTTGTTTATTTTTTAGTATTACCTTTTAAAAATGGCATTCAAATTGTGAATGTTTTGTAATATTTGTGAGTATTTTTATTTTTATTTAATATTTAGTAAATAAATATGCATGCTTGAGGGAATTAAAAAATTTTCCTTGATAGAACTGCACAATTAGAAATGTTAAGTTTCAAGATTTATCAAAAAAAAAAAAGGATTGTCAGTTTCTACATATTTGAAAATATTGCATGCTAATTTGTTTTCAGAAATGAATGGAAAAAAGAACAGGTGAATGAGGGATGAACTATTGAAGTCTGTAAACTAATATTTTTGAATGAAATGTGATCAATTTATTTAAGAAAATTATAAGCTGGCAGTGGTGGTGCATACCTAGAATCCCAGCAGACTGAGGCAGAAAAGTTGCTGCGAGTTTGAGGCCACTCTTGGCTACATAGTGAACTCAAGGGCAGCCTGAACTACATAGCATGACCCTGTTTCAAAATGAAAAGAAAAAAATATTATAAACCTGATTCCTATGTGACCTTATCATTGTTACAATCGATAACTATGCAGTTAGTGACTGTGACAATAAAGCTTTAATGCAATCATTGTTAGTGTACTATTCATTAGAAGTTATCTGCTGCTAAATTCCT